ACCTGGAATCATAGGATCATGTTAGGTAAAAGTAACAAACTACTTCATTGCTTACCCATCCCAAATCCCTTTCCAGAGTTCACGAAAAGGACAAGATTAGAAAACTTGTATCCCTTTCAGCAAGATAACTGAACCAGCAATAGACACCTGGTAAGTCCAGTCAAAATAGGTTAAAACAATTGGTGAAAAAGTCCCCTAGAGGTACAGTCTTAACTGGCTGGTAATGTAGTCATAACATACAAAGGGTCAGCAGTGGCTGTATCGGGCATTACACAAAATTAGTAAGTAAAGTGAGCTGTAGAGATGAAGCCTAGAATACAGATTAAGCCTAGAGTAGAGATTCAAAAAGAAACTGCCCATGGCTGTTCTGGTCCCTATGAGGCCTGGCTATGCTTTCTTCTGTCTTCTTTGGATGTCTGGAAACTGCAACATCTTTTTTTTTTTTTTTTTTTTGAGACAGAGTCTCACTTTGTTGCCCGGGCTACAGTGAGTGCTGTGGCGTCAGCCTAGCTCACAGCAACCTCAAACTCCTGGACTCAAGTGATCCTCCTGCCTCAGCCTCCCGAGTAGCTGGGACTACAGGCATGCGCCACCATGCCCGGCTAATTTTTTTTTCTATATATTTTTAGCTGTCCAATTAATTTCTTTCTATTTTTGGTAGAGACGGGGTCTCGCTCTTGCTCAGGCTGGTCTCGAACTCCTGAGCTCAAACAATCCGCCCACCTCGGCCTCCCAGAGTGCTAGGATTACAGGCGTGAGCCACCGCGCCCGGCCTGCAACATCTTTTTTACTTGAGTAAAACAGACACTTTTGTTCTTTATGGTCCAGGGGTAGAGACTGGAACAGACAAGTATATAGTAAAAGTATAAAAATAAAAGTGTATGATGAGGGTGGAGGGAATAGGACACTTTCAACCCAACAATTCTATATAATGATAAGCTTGCACAAAAATTTAAATAGCACATAGAGTAGCCTTATTTATAGAGAAAAGTTGGTAACAAGCTCCGTATTCAAAGGTCTGTTAACTAAACCATGTTCCATTCATACTGGCAATACCGTGCAGCCATTAGAAGCTGTAAAAAAGCATAGGTATCCTTTTCTACCCAAACTCACGCTCTCTGCCTCACACGCCAAAGAGATTCAGATAGCAAGGGATACTTACTTGTATTCAATGACTTGGAAACATATTCATGATATATTAAGTGAAAAAAAAAAGGCTACAAAACAATATATACTGTATTTTTGTTAAAAGTAGCACATTTACATATATTTGTATATAAACAAAAATGAGACTGTTTCTGCACTATCTGCAATGTTGTCTTTTTGTGGCTCTTATAAACAACAAAAACTCTACTAAAAAATTAAATACAGATTTTCTTTCAGAAGCTACAAGGTACAATTTGGACCACGTCCTGGTTCTATTGTAGGATGAGTGGTAATGTGGTCAAAAAAGCAAACACTTATCGGCTGGGCGTGGTGGCTCACGCCTGTAATCCTAGCACTCTGGGAGGCCGAGGCGGGCAGATTGTTTGAGCTCAGGAGTTCGAGACCAGCCTGAGCAAGCAAAAATAGAAAGAAATTAATTGGACAGCTAAAAATATATAGAAAAAAAAATTAGCCGGGCATGGTGGCGCATGCCTGTAGTCCCAGCTACTCGGGAGGCTGAGGCAGGAGGATCGCTTGAGCCCAGGAGTTTGAGGTTGCTGTGAGCTAGGCTAACGCCACGGCACTCACTCTAGCCAGGGCAACAAAGCGAGACTGTCTCAAAAAAAAAAAAAAAAGCAAACACTCAGGAAAGAAAAAAGAAAAGGTGAATGAGATCAAGGATAGGGCCTGGGGCTTTATACCAGTCGAAGACCTTATTGTCCAATAACAGCTATTCTTTAAAATAAACCTTTCACTCCAGCCAGGCAAGTCTCTTCACTGTTTTCCCCTTCACTCAACACACTCATTCATGTTTCCATTATGCTGTTCATTCTAATTCATTCTAATTCTCTGGTGTTGCCTGTCCTCCGTCATGCCCTCTGCTTAATAGCAATTCAAGTCTCAGTCCCTTCAGAAAGCAGTCTGACTATTCCAGGCAACAAGTAATTTCTACTCTCCTTGAACAATAGCTATAGTTTTGAATTCAGAGATCTACTTGAAAGACTCACTCAAAATCTCTAAGTCACTAGTCAGTGCACTGGAGTGCCAGATAGGTAGCTCCAGCACATTAAAAAACAGTTCCACACAAGTGAAATCTTATAAGACCAAAATGTAATCAATGTTTAAGATGTGTTTGAAGATAACTTGAGTATAAACCTGGGAAGCAAAAAGATAAAAATAGCAGTAAAAAAGCAGGGTCAAATAATTGTTTTGGACTCTCTCTAAAGACAGACTAAGAGAGGGTATTAACTGGTGATGCAGATAGTCTAGGCTGGTTCACTCACCAACTGCTTCTCCCTCTTCTCTATGAAAGCTGTAGAGCTAAAATATAGTAGTCCCCCTCCTTGTCTGCAGTTTGGCTTTTCATGGTTTCAGTTACTGCACTATAGCACCATAAGATATTTTGAGAGAGACAACCTTCACATAACTTTTATTATAGGATGTTGTTATAATTATTCCATTCTATTATTAGCTACTGTTGTTAATCTCTTACTGTGCCTAATTTATAAATTAAACTTTATCCTAGGTATGTATGTATACGAAAAAACATAGTATATAATAGAGTTTGGTGCTATCCACAGTTTCAGGTATCTTCTGGGGGTCTTGGAATATATCCTCTGCAGGTAAGAGAGGGCTACTGTACTATTTTATCTTTCAGCCTTTTTGAAGCTAATGGTGGCCACTGACATTCTGGCCCAAAATCTAAAAGCCCCTAAGAAGGGCTTTTCTTGCTATTTTGCTTTTCCAGCTGCTTGGAACAGAGACATGATGCCTGGAGGTATGGCGGCTATTCTGCAACCAGAAGAATAAAAACAAAAGGAAAAGAAAGAAGAACCTGGATCCTTGCTGAGACTGGTGGCTACCCAGTCCCAGTCTGCCCACCCCCAGATTTCTTGTTTTGTGAGAAAAATAAGCCCCTATTCATTGAAATCACTGGACAGCAGGTTTTCAGTTCTTTGCAGCTGTGGACATTCCTGATATAGTTAGCGTGGCGCTTAGAACAGTGTTTCTCAACTATCTTGCCTCTCCAACATACATGAGGGATAGAGCACACTCCTTTCATCAACAGTTACTATGACAGCAGTGACTCTCAACCTGGCAGGCATCGAATGTGCAATGGGTGCAGAAAAGACAGTGGCCCTGAGCCTTGGTGACCACCAAAGCAACGTCTCCTTGTAACCATTTATCTGAGAGGCATCTCAATCTGGTGCCTCCAAAAATGCAATAAGGATTTTTTGTTCTGATGCTAAACAAACAAAATACTTCCTGCCCAAGTTGCTCCTTTCGTTCAAAGTCAATTCTTCTTTCAAATTTTATTCCCTATTACTAATTATTAATAAACCTCTCATAATAACCACTCCGAAAAAACTCAGGTATTGACCCTACAGAAATAAAGACCAAATTTCTGTTTTGAAGGCAGTTGTATTTATAGGTATTCTATTATTGCATTTATCATGGTTATAAAAACTCTGGTATCATGTTTATGTACTGATACACTTTGTACAGTTATAAGTACGGATGCCCATGAAAGCTTATTTTCCATCAGAGATAATTTAACTTTTATATTATTAATTGTTCCCTTTCAATGCATTTTATAGTCTCCTACTGATTCCCTAAATCTGGGAAATAAAGGTTATCTTCAAGTAAGTACATGTCTACAAATTATTCACATAAAGTATTTATACTCAATTTTTAAAATATCATTATATATGCTCTTTAGTTTATCATGGTATAAAATTTGGGTTAAAAAACTTCCAGGCCAGAATCACTAGATATTTTGAGAAGTAAACGGGAAAAGACCTTTCTTGAACACAATCAACTTAGCTGCTTCCTTTTCAAAATTAATGCAAACTTATCACCAGCGAAGGATAATGTTTAAGACATACATCATAAAGAAAATGACCAACCGCTCTTAACAAACATCTCAAGACAAATCATTGCAACTAAACATGCAAGGTAAAGGATAATGCTCTTATTTGGGAAAACTGTTTATTTTTATACGGCAACCTAATTCTAAGATGGGGATTTTCTTAGATACTCCTAAATATCTAAATCTCAAAGGCACATGGCAGTCTAGAATATTTAAATTATCAAATCTACAGAAAAATTACAAGAACAATCCTCTTTATGACTGCAGTAGATTTGGCATTTGACTTATCTTTCATATCGTTTTCACTGAAAAATTCATGAAGAATAATCAGTCTTCCAAACAGGCCTTTCCTTCATTGGGCTGGTTGAGAAAGTTACTCAACTGTCAATAAAGTCAAGACTTCCATCCAATGCCATCAGCCAAGTTCACTCTTCTGATACCACAGTGAAAGGTTTGACCCTGGTCAGGCAGGTGCAAATGGCTGCCAAGTGCTGGTGTGCTTTGAACCAGTAAAGGTAAATCACCTTTAAAACAAATCACCTTAAAAACAAAAATGTTGGTGTGCAGTTCAGGGAAAACCATGCTCAGTACCAGAGGACAACTCAAATCAGTGGGCCTGTTGATTATTCCTATTCAAAGGATGGTATAAATAATAAATGTGGGCACTGTTCACTTGAAAAAATAAAACATACATTTAATTGGTGTAGAATGTCATCAGTCAGATTTTTCTAAAAATTGCATTAGTAGTTTCTTCGGGGAAAAAAATAGTTGCCTAATTTAGACTTTTAAATGAGAAGTTAAAGTATGGGCTTACATCTTCCTCAAACAAAAGCTGTCCCAAGCATTTTTAAAATGGTAGAGATGTGTGTAGGTGTACCTGTTACACCTACAGGAAAATAAATTTAAATTTCTTCAGCTCAGCTTGACAAATGCATTTTAATTATTCGAAACTCAACAAACCCAAGAAAATGTAAAGCAACATTACCATACTTGGTGCCTCCAAGTTTAGATACATTGAAGAACTTCTTACGTGAACTGTCATTTAATGTTTCAATAAGGTATTCAAAGGCGTATCCTGAAAAAAAATTATGCTGCATTAAACACAGCTACAAAGTATCTTAACCAAAGTAAAAACACCTGGAAACTAGCTTTGTCTAGTACAATTTTCTACAATGTCAGAAATGTTCCATGTTTGTGCTGTCCAGTAAGGTATACATTAGCCACATGTGGCTACTGAGCACTTGAAATGTGGCTACAGCAACTGAGGAAATAAATTTTTAATTTTATTTAATTAATTTAAAGTCATACACAGCTAGTATTCACCACATTGGCTAGGCTAGCTCTAATCTGTCAAGTAAAAACTAGTAAGATAATTTACTCCCGAAATGTGTTAAGAATACCTGGAAAGGAACAGTAAAAATGATTTAAATAAAGCATAGGGATGTTCTGGAAAGACACTGCTCTGAAAATTGCGTGCAGAACAATTTGCGAACTCCAGTTATGTTAGAAGGACTGATTAAAAAACAATAATAAAGGACGTATTTTTACAGAGCATTGAACAACACAGACAAAATCAAAGCCAAACCAATCCAAAAATTTCTCAAGTAAGACCTTAATAGATCTTAAAAGACTGAAGATAAAAGTGAACAAAATATCTAGGTAAATTAGCATATTCTCCCCTAAAAGAGACATGCCTTTCTGGTTTTGCACGAATTGAAGCCTGAACTACAAAGTAGAAGACTCAGGGGTCTCATTTGAATGTGCCCCAGCTCCTAACATTCTGGGGGGAAGTGGCGGGGACGCAGCCTTGAGGCTGAAAAGATCTTTTGTGCAGACTCATTACGGTGGGTGGGCAGGACCCTCAAAATTTTGGGATCTTCGTCCAAAATGAGAAGAGATAAGCGCAGCCTACTTTCAGAATGAAAAGTGTTTCTATCCCTCCCTCTCTTTTTTTTTTTTTTTTTTTTTGCAGAGAGAGGTGGGCTGGGAGGAGACTCAGAGCTGCAATAAACAGTCGGGGAACCGGCTGATCAACGTACAACCTTGACTGCCCCTTATTCGCTTCCAGAGGCTAAGAGAGACGGAGGGGCTCGAGGCTAGACACTGGAATAAACAACAAGCTGCGTGAAACCCAAGCAAGGAGACGCTGGCCCCCACCCGCATCTCTCACAAATGGGGGGCGGTGTGGGGAAGATGGTGGGCCTCTCTCTGCCCCTACTGTTACTGACGGGGGCCAGGAAGCCGCTGGCAGCAAGCAGCGGCAACCGGGGTGAGATGGGTGCGCGTCAAGGCCAGCAGCGGAGCGGACGGCCCTGCTGGGGTCGTTCTGGGAGGCGGGGTGGGGAGGCCCGGCCTCCGAGGCCTCGGCGCAGAGAATGCGGCCCAGCAGGCAGGCCCCGAGGGGAGCCCTGAGGGCCCCCGGCGCCCGTCGGGCGACTCTAGGAGAGAGCGGAAAGGAACACGGCGCCCAGACAGCGCGCGTTTCCAGCTGCCAGACCCAAGTCGGCGGCCCGAAACTGACCTGCACTTGGGGTGTCCATCGCCGGAGACCATATTATCCCTGCGGGGAGGGGGCCAGCGGGGTAAGGTGGGGAGGCCTAACGGGGAGGAGGGGGAGGAAGACGGGCGGACTGGCAAGAGAGGAAGGAAGGAAGCAGTCTCGCGCAAACACCGCGAGAGCTGCGGAGCAGGCCCCGTATCTACGCTCGCGGGATTTGAGCCTAACTTCCGCGATATCTTCGGACATGAAAACAAAGAAAGAAGGGGCGGAGCTAGTCTAAAGACGATTCCCGGCGCAGTCGCCGCTGTTCTCGCGATCAGGGCCAGAGCGCCGGGGAGGGTGTAACGTTGGTGTTACTAGCGTAGCCTCAAGTGCCCAGTTCGGGTGGTCAGGTCGAGCGCTGTGTGGGTTCCTGCAGGGTGTCTTCCGGAGTAGGAGTGGGAATAGGAACTCCTAGGAAAAACACCTTTAGGAGATCCGCTTTCCCCTGACGATAAAGCCTTGCATTAGCTTGTCGTATGTGGGTAGCCCGCGTGTGCGTTCTCTACGGAAGGTGGGGAGACGCTCGGGCACGTCGGAGGCGCTTAACTAATTGTTCAATGAACTAATTTTTCCTTACACTCCGCAGCTTCAGTCTCTCCCTTTCTGATGACTTCTTCCCCGTAGCTGCTAATCATGCTTAAGCTTCTCCGGCCTTCCGCTTCAGCTCCTCCGGTCCCTAGTCTTCTCCACCTGCTGCCTTATCTCTGTTGGCAGCCAACTCCCCAGAAAGAGTGGTTTGCACTCGCCCTTGTCCCACTCTTTATCCCTTCTCCAGTCTGGCTTCCACCCCTAGAGTTCGACCAAGGTCAGCCATAACTCCACTTGCTAATCTCACGTTTCTCAATCCTTATGCTACTTGTTTTTTCCCCTTGTTCAAAATACTCTTCCATTGGCTGCTGTGACCTAAAACTCTTATTTTTTTTTTCTGTTTTTTTTGTTTTTTTTTTTTTTTTTTTTTTTTTTTTTTTTTTTTTTTTTTTTTTTTTTACTTCTTACTTCTAAGGTTGCTGCACCTCAGTCTCCTCTGCTGGTTCCTCCTCTGCATAGTCTTAAAATGTACTGGGCCTTAAGTGTACCCCAGGGCTCTCCTCCTCTCCTCCTTTCACTCTCCATTTTCCCTGGCCCATCTCGCGATCTCCTCTGGCTTCAGTTATTAGCTAACATGTTGATCCTTCTCAGTTTACCTGTAACCCAAGCCATCTCCTAAGCCAGAGGTGTATATCCTAGTACCCGCCTCCACATCCCACAGGCACCTCAGACTCAAAATCTCCAAAACTAAACCCTTAGAAAAGTTCTAAACAAGATAAAATACAACCCTTCCTCTTTTTACACAATAATAGTATTCCTGGAAAATCCATTGTATATTAAAACCATACACAAATTACTTGTTTTATTTGTAAGTGGGGTTAAATTCTAGGCTTAGATAATTATAAACAAATTTGTTGTTGTTATTTTTGTGTATATGTTTACCTACCTGAGTATCTGACGGTATGTTTAGGGGGTAATCTTGTTTGATTCTTTGTTGTGCAATTCTGTACTATGGAATGCAGGCAATCTAACATTCATTAAATACCGAAAGTGCTGCCACAATGGTGACAACCAAAAATACCCTCCCATTTTCTCAATGACCTGCTTCCATTGAGAAGCACTAACTTAGATCAGTCATGATGTGTCCCCTTGTGGCTGGACTCATTGCTTTTTTTAAACAGTTTTACTGAGATTTAATTAACATGCCATAAAATTCTTCCATTTTTAAACCTTTTTATTGTGATAATTGTAGATTTACATGCAGTTGTATTAAATAATAGAAATCCCATATACTCTTCACCCAGACTTCCCCCACGTAACATAGTACAATATCAAAATGAGGAAATTGAAATTGATAGAATCATTCCACCTTATTCAGATTTCAGCAGTTTTATTAATACATCCACTCCTTTGTGTGTGTGCGTGTGTGTGTATTTAGTTCACATGTATAGATTTGTGTGACCACCACCACAGTCGAGATACAGAGCATTCCAAGGACCCTTCATGTTGCCCTTGTGTAACCACATCCACTTTCCTACTAGGCTGCTGCTTCCTCATCCACTATGCACTGGTAGCTGCTAATCTGTCCTCCATTTTGAATGTTATACAAATGGAATCATACTGTATGTTTCTACAATTCATTTTTTTTCAAGTTACATTTCCAGCGAGTACCCTTTTAGATCAGTGTCCTGGGCAATATCCAGGCTGGTTCATCTCTTCTTTTTTAATTAAACTTTTTATTTTGGAAAAAAATTTAAGGATACAGAAGAATTACAAGATAATTACAATAAACCTTCTTATACACTTTACCTAGATTTATTTATTTATTGTTAATATTTTGCCACATTCGCTTTATCTCTCTGTACTACATACTGCGTAATAAGATCCTCATTATTTCTTATTCTAATTTTTTCCCCTGAACTATTTCATAGTAAATTTCAGAGATTATGACCTTTAAGCACTAACTACTTCATTATGTACCTCCTAACAACAAAGACAATCTCTTACATACTACAGTGTGGTGATCAAATTCAGGAAACTTAATATTGATAAGATACAATCAGTTGTATCTTATCAATACAATTCGTATTCAAATTTTATGAATTTGAATCATCAAATTTGGTGAATAATCCATATTCAAACATTGATACAATTTACAATCTATATTCAAATTTTGTTAATTGTCTCAGTACTGCCCTTTCTAGAAACTTTTCTCCCAATCCAGAATCCAAACCAGGATCAAGCATTGCATTTGGATAGCATATCTGTTTAGTCTCCTATAATCCAGAACGGTTCCTTAGCCTTTCATTTTCTTTTATGGTGTTGAAATTTTTGAAGAGTATCGGCCCATTGTTTTGCAGAATGTCCTTTAATTTGGGCTCGCCTGATTGTTTCTTCATGATTAAATTTGGTTTATGCCATTTTGATGGGAATGCTACATAAGTAATGTTGTGTCCTTTTTAGTACATCCTATCAGGAGGCACCTGATTTCACTCACTTCCTTTTTTGGTAGCTGAGACATCTCTTAATGTAAAATCAGCACAGGATTTTAAACCCAGGTCCTCCAGACTGTAGGGCCCATGTTTTCACCCATCTACAACCCTGTGGTTAAATGTGGGCTCACTTATTGCAGGGGCTGAGGTTGGAGGCTCCCATGGCCTTTCTAAATCTTCTCAGTATGACCTCTCAGTAGCTAAGCCTTAAGTGCTTCATGTTCTTCCAATTTATGTTTTAGATCTACAAAGAGAAAGCCTGTTTGGCTACTGATAGCTCCAGAATAAGTGTCATATCTTGAAAAATCAAAACCATGATAAACTAATATGCCTGCCATTCTGTGGCTCACTTCGAAGCCACTGCTGAGTCTGATCATGGGTTAAGATCAGAACATGTGAAATCAAAGGGAACCATTGTACACCCAAAGAGGGTAACTGTGTGTTCTGCCCATCTAGTCAAGAGGAATGCAGATAAGAGTTTTTTCTTTTCATCCATATGAGTAGACCATACATTAAAAGTTTTTAAAAACTACTGAAATCCTTGTCTATTGCCAGCAGATGGTTAAGAATGTTGATGCAGGCTTACAGGGCAGAACACTGTCCTTGGAACTGTGATAGGATGTAAAATAAATAGAAAAGCCCCTTATTCCTCACACCCTAATTCCCTTTTCTGGGGAAAAGACAGAATTGCCATCAGTAAAATGACATGAAAACATAAATGTCAAAATTACTGTTATAGGTTGAATTGTGTCCCCCCAAATTGTATGTGACCTTATTTAGAAATAGAGTAACTGCAGATGTAATTAGTTAAGGTCATACTGGAGTGGGTTGGTCCTAATCCAATGGCTGGTGTCCTTACAAGAAGACAGGCACATAGACACACAGAGGGAAGGTGGCTGTGTGCAGAAACAGACACGCGCACAGGGAGAATGCTATGGGACCATGAAGGCAGAGATCAAGGGGATAGGTCTGTAAGCCAAGAAGAGAGGCCTGGCACTGATTCTTCCCACAGCCATCAGAAGAAACCAACTCTGCCAACACTTTATTTTCTGACTTCTAGCCTCCAGAACTGCGAGACCATAAATTTCTGTTGTATAAGCTACCCAGTTTGAAGTAGTTTGTTATAGCAGCCCTAGGAAGTTAATACAAATCTCTTCTTGGAATACCCAAGTGAAAATTGTGCAGCATAGCAGTCAGGAGACCTGGGTTTCAGACCCAGCCCAACCCTAAATTTGCTGTGTGGCCATACCCAAATGAATGAATCTGTCAGGCCTCAGCTGTCAAATTCATCAGTTGAAGAAAATCTTCTTCTAGGTTCAAGAATGATTTTACATAGTCTATGTTTGTACATTTCCAGTTTCAGGCATTTGCCCTCTCCTTTGTCCCTCTCATCAAAGAAACCATGATGCCCTATCAAATTATAATTCCTAAATATCTCTTGGTTTATCTCCTTTACTGCTGCCTTAGTTTGGGTCTGGTCATTTCTTACCTGGACCATTGTGTTAGGTTGGACCATATGAAATTGATGACATTTGACAATTTTTGACCAAAAAAAAAAATGGCGATTTTATATGTTTCAACCTAAGAGTCATTTCCTAACTGGTCTCCGTGCTTCAGGCTTGCCTCCGCCATGCTCTCATCATTGCTCCAATCACCCCGTACAACCCCACCAGGGTATTCTTTCTGAAAGGCAAATCTGATCATGTTTGCCTAGAATTCTTTGAAGTCTCCCTACCACCTTCAAAATGAAACCAGAACTTCCCAGCCCAGCATTTGAGGGCTTTTGCGGCCTCATCTTCACCTCCAGAATTACTTCTTGACCTAAACTCTGTTTTTGCCTACTCCTGCACCCACACAGAACGAAGCTTCGTACTAGCTCAAGCTTTTGCACATTCACCAGCTAACTTCTAGTTGTCCTCCAGGAACAGCAGAGGCTCCTCTTGATGAAGATTTTGCTGTTCCTATTCACTCTTCTCCACCGCAACCCTGGGCTCCCTCTTTCTTGCCTTCAAACCCACCATGCTTCCTCTCTCACAGCACTTAGCTCACCATGCTGCAATTTTTGATCTGTTCATTCACTAAATGGTGAACTCCCTGAACAACACTAAGTTTTTACTCTATTTCCT